ATACTGTATCAGTGCTAACGTCACTGACCGGTGGTGGCAGTGTTATTTTCCACGACCGCCAGATCAGTGCTGTTCACATATTTTTCAGCAAAGATTCAGTTTAGAGACAGTATGAGATACAAAAGAAATAGACATTTTCTATTAGTGGGAATGGCGGTTCGCCCCAGAAATTTGCGAATAGCGTGATGAGCGTGCTGCGTGGCGTTTTAAATCACCGTGCCGTTTGAGGCAGGTGGTTTCGAGTGTTGGCCGCGCGGTTGGCAACTGCAGGCTCACTGCAGGACCGCGTGTACTGGCGTGTACGTTGCTGCTGGTTGTGTTATCGCCTTGGTTATGCTCGTGCCGTGAAGGGCTCACAGCGTACAAGGACGTCACTAATCGTCGGCTGGTGTAAGGCGCTGTACGGCTCTTGAAAGGATTTACCATGGAGGGCGTCCCAGGCAGAAGCTTGAGAAAGCCCTGGTGATTCCGCAGGCTAATCTTTTCAGGATACCCGAACTGCAGCTGCAGAGAGCAACGGAGGACCCTGAAGCCGACGTACGAGAAAATTTCATCTCGGGGGGGGGGGGGGGGGGGGCTTTGAGCTGCTGAGATAACATCGGCTTTAGGGTGGCAGGCCGGTGGTTTAAAACACGCATATTGTGTGTTTATACGCAGACAGTTGGCTATCAGACTTGTAAGTTTCAAGGTGCAATTCATAGCCACCCTGCTGCGTGTCACACAGTTGGGAATATCAGTCTGATATCTATCAATGAATGAGATATCACACATTGAATAGCAAGTATACATCAGTTTGGGATGCAATCGAGACTCGCCCAAGGAGCAAAACAATGATCCTGAACTGAGCAACTGTTGATGTTGAGTTGGTGCCATCTGGGAGTCCTGCAATGTCTGCCATATTGTCTTACGCGTATCATTTCATTGAATACCTAGCTAATGGTGGTGTCAAGTCTCTTAAAAATGTCGGTGGCAAGACAAATCTTTACCATGAGCCTCAGAGCTGTTGTCAGATTTTGAGCCTTGAGCTGTCGGCAAATTAAGGCCTTATGTACAATGCATCTAATATAACTTTATCAAAACTTCTGCTAGATTCATTCTAAGCATCTTATTTCCCGTTTATGCCAGGGTAATCTTATGGAATTTACTGCATGATGACCGAGCCGAGCAAAGCGATGCTTCACAATGACCCACTGATTTAACCTAACCTCCGCCATGAATCGCGCTCCTCCATTCTGGCACTCTCTCCAGCCCGGCGCTCTCCAATACGACCCTCTCCAGTCCGACCCTTCCAGTCCGACCCTCCTCAGTACAGCGCTCTCCAGCTCGGCGCTCTCCAGTCCGACGCTCTCCACTCCAGCCCGCCGCTCTCCAGTCCGGCGGTCTCCAGCCCGGCGCTCTCCATCCCCCCCCCCCCCCCCCCCAGTGGTCCCAGCCCAACTTGCCACATGGACGGTCTGGCAGTAGCAATGCATGGGTAGGTTTGAACTAGCGTTTGGCTCAGCCTTTTCAGCACCTTGTATTTATGTCGCAAGACCCTTGAGACCAGGGTCTTTGCAACAAGGCGTATCGGTGACGAATCTGATTCCAAACACGCTGCTGCATAATAGTCGGTCAAATCTCATTTCAGTTGAGGCAGTTTGGTATTTTCTCAGTCATGCATGTGCCAATGCATCCTTTCAGGGTCTCACCCATGATTCCCGTCGCTCGGTCTGCGAAACATCCTACCCCAATGTAAGCCATCCCTTCAGACCTGGACGACCCTGAGCCAGGTACCAGCGCTCCGCACCTCGTCTCCGGCGCTCCCCGCCCCAGGGCCAGCTTGTCCCGCAGGGAAAACTCAGCAGTTGCAATGCATGAGTAAGTTTCAGCTACCACTTCTTTTAACATCATAAATGGGTCACGTGACTTTAAAAATTAATTTTTGTATTACTGTGTGAAACAGAGTTATGCTTGCGTGTCCAACTTGACGCATGAACTTTTTGAGCGTCTGAGACATGTCTTCGTTGCTCGGGCTGTGAAAGGCTGTTGAAAGAACGAAAAACGCTTTTTCAGACTAAGGCGACTCGAACACGGCGCCCACGCTCTGCGGTCCGCCCTGGCGCTGTCCTGGCGCTTGGTGTATTGCAGTCCAGCTCAGGCGCTCTCCAGACCGGCGCTTACCAGCCCGGAGCAATCCTGCCCGACGCTCTCCAGCCCAGCGTTCCCTAGCCCGGGTGCTTCGGACACTTGCCGCTACAGTGCCAGACGTGTGCCCACACCAGAACCAGAAAAACCACCAAACCAACCCAGAAACCAGAAGATTGAAACACCTTATGTGTGTGCTGCCGAGACGATCACGTATATTGAATGCGTGTCATGAATATATATGTACATAGTTGTATGTTCCTTCATTATATGTTGCACGACAGGACCTTGAATCAATAACCGTTAACTGGCTCTCAACCAATGTTCTGCAGGGTGCGATGGCGATTGATAAGCATATTTACTGAACAAGGAATGGGACTGTCTATAGCAGTCTCTTTCACTTAAAAATTATGCTTATAATTTTGGGCGAGCTGCTTCGTCATATCTAAGGCTTGCTGTAAACATTTTCAAGTGTGAAACATTCCCTTAGAGTCCCCGTGTTCTCCAAAGTCCCCCGTGATCTTAAGGCCTAAGCCGCTCTAGTGCTGATCCGCACTCCCGCAAGGATGTGCAGACTACTACGTGCAGAGCATTTCCAGGTCACCCAGGCATTGAAGACGACATACCAGTTATTTCACGTCTGCTCTTCCATTACCATGTGGCGATCAAGGTCAAAACAAGCATACGCGTCGTGTCGTTCATACCCGCCGTTTGTGAGCACGATTTCCACCCAGCCAGCATGTTTACATGGGCCCACAAGGGCTAAACGTAAGGTAACTTGATTAATATCGACATGGGCTACAAGTGGGCGGCCACTACTGAGCTCCAGCCTGGGTCCCAAATGAGATGCCAGCATCATGCCATATTTCTACATGCACCAGAAATGTTCGTGCCTGGCACTGCCCCATCGGAATTTACCATGACAAAAAAATTACGAAGAGGAAATGCATAAGGCAGTGGCAAAAACCTTGTTCCTCAAAGAAAACCAGGCGAATGGAATATATATATATATATATATATATATATATATATATAATATATATGCAGTGATATTTCCGCAAAGTTCCTTTATCGAAACGAACGCAAAAGTGAGTTCACAATTGCCTGCCAATGATCCTATCCGGTTCTCATGTTTGTTTTTTTGGGACGGCGAGTCACATTTTTTACAGGGCACCTCTATTCAGGTGATTATAAAAAAGCAACTGCCAGCCATTACTGCGCACAGTGCATATCTAACCAAGAATTAGAATGTGCGAAAAAAACGTGTGCAAGCAAACGAATTCAAGTAGAGGCATCAGCATCACGCTTTATTCGAACATGCATATGAGTTCGAGTAAGCAAGCATTTCACATTACGCATCAAGTACACATGCAAACTATTTCAATAAAACAGGCATGGCGCATCACACATCTTAGCGTCTTCAGACACTACTTTAAAAAATTTAAAACGATTTTAAGCTACCTCACGTCATGCATCAAGGCACATGTGGACAACTTGGGTTCACATCAACATGGTCTACAGGTGGGGGTAGCATCCCGCTTTATGTGGGACCCAGATGCCACCAGTGGGACCCAGATGTCATATGTGGGCTGCCCACATGTCACCGTCTTGGTTACATAGGCACATAACGTTGATGAGTTGTGTTTTCATGTCGTGTTCTGCCATGTATTGTGCGAATTATTTCACATGAAGTAACAGCTCGTAAGGCTGTGCTGCACATGTGTTTGCATGGGCAAGTTCGGCCCTCGTTGACATGGGTTGCAGATGGGCTGGTGTCTAGGCTTTATCTGGCACCTAGAAAGGCTGTAATCGTCCTGTTGACATGGACACAACACTACAGTTCTCATGTTCTGTGTTTATTTTTGGGGGCTCTTTGTGTCCCGTGCAAAAAGGTAGGTGTGTCCCGCTGGTAAGGCTGGGATCCACATGGCTTTGACATCGGCAAAACTAGGCCCACGTTAACACGGACTGCACATGGGCTGATATTTAAACCTTATCTTTGGACCCAGATGTAGCTGCCTACATGCCACTGTCTTGGTCACATCGATTCATCATGTTTATGCTTTGGTTTTTCGCCTCGGGTTTCGCCTGATCTTGTACAAATATTGCGCAACCTTGGGCAGCAGGCAAGGCTGGGATCCAGGTATTTGTATGGCAAGCTGGGCACACACTGACATGGATTGTAAGCTAGGTAGTATCTTGGCTTTGCCTGGGGCTTCACATGGACTGCCCACAAGCCGCCGTCTCAGGAAACATTCTTGACACCATCGCATGTGACCGATGAAACTATTGCTGGCACTGCGCCTTTAGGAATATGGCACGTACGAAAGGCTTTGGTATAGGAGCAAGATGTATGGAGGCATAGAAACAGCCAATCGACTATTGTTTGTATATGAGGACAAAGGTGAATACGGCCGACCCTTTTAACCACTGTTTCTGTGAACAGTCTGTGATTTTTCTCGCGTGTTTCACGATTCCATACTGAGAAAAGTAAATGTTTTCTCGACACGATTCCATACTGTGAAAAGTAGCTGCTGCTCCACACGATCCCATACTGTGAAAAGTAGCTGCTGCTCCAGCTTTGCTAAACCTCTCCGTTCCTCTCACTATAACCCTAAGTCGCGCCGCACGCACGGATACAGCTATCATACCACAGGGACCCCCCCCCCCCCGCTATGCTGATTCAGCGCCTACATGGCGACGCAAGGTGGTCACGAGTCAACGCGCCGCGACGCCCGTTTGCGCACCAGCTTCACCCTGCAGTGCCTGCCATGGTGACTGGCCTGCACACAGCATGTCTGTCGGTTTTCATGCAGG